GGGCCCGCGGGGCGTCGCGCAGAAGCGCCTCGGCCGCGGGCACGTCGTCGTTGACCGAGGCCAGCACGGCGCGCAGCACGTCCTTGTCGCACGCCGGATGGCGCGCGGCGAGGCCCGCGAGCGGCGGCGCGGCTTCCACCGGCGGCGAGGCGATGTAGCGGTCGAAGGCGGCGAAGAGGTCCGCGTCCTCCGACACGTCGCGCGGCGCGAGCGCGGGGGCGGCGGTCGGCGTCATGGTCAGGAGCGACTCCGAGTCCGAGCCCGAGGCGGAGGCAGAGTCCGAGGCCGTCGTGGAGGAGCGGTTCATGGCGGTGCGTGGGAGAGAGGGCGGGGGGGAATGGGAGTTTGGAGTAGGTGGTGAGAGTGTGTACCGAAGAGGGAGTGTGCTGTAGAAGGCGTAGGGTATCCCCAATAGGCGTGCGAAGTGACTGGCCCTTTCCAGTGTCCTGTGTGCAGACAACAATGCAGCAGATCGGGATGCAGCACCGCCATCCCGATCCTTCCGACATTGATCCGACCACTTTTCGCAAAAGTATGATCGACGTTCCCCACCTCTCACACCTTGTGCATTCACTTTCCCCTCCATCTCTGCCCCCATCGTCTCCCTCACAACGCCTCCAGCGCCCGCGCGCATCGCCCCATCCCACCCCCCTTCCCCCCCCCCCCTTATCGCCCTACCATGGTCGTGACGCACCCACAAACGGGGCACCAGCTGAACATCGGCCTCGATGTAATCGCCGTCCCTCGCCTGCGCGCCTCGCTCGAGCTAGCGGAGGTGTCAGGCTGCGACTTCGTGCTTGCGCCGCTGGCACATCCGCGCTACGAGCGCATGTCGGTGCACGCGTCTCCGCCGGCCGTCCCTGCATCACCGGACCTCCCGCCGCGCATCATCCGCACGGACCCGCTGACGCGCTCCGACCTCGAGCTGTCGTCCGGCGAGTGGATGGCCGGCGTCGTCGCCAAGCTCTCGCCGTGGATCCGACCGGACTCGCCGCACACGGCCCTGCGCACCGCGTCCGAGGCCGCGTTTGCGGAGGAGGTTTCCTTCGCCGCGCACATGAGCTTGCGCGCGCTCGTCATCCCGCCCCCGAATGGCGGACGCTCGGGCGTGGCCAATCTGGCCCGCTGTCTGTCCGCGGCTTTGCTCGCAGCCCCGACTCTTCAGCTGTGGCTCCGCTTGCCGGTTGTCGATTTGCCGGGCAGGGTGCCGTTGTCGTCGTTTGCGGCGGATGAGACCAGCGTCGAGCTCCCGTCAGAGGACGAGACTGATCCGTGGGAGGTGTGGAATGTTATTCGCACCATGTGCGGGGAGCACCCCAATCTCGGCGTCGCACTGGAGCTCACGCCTGACTTGCCGTTGCGTCCGTTGCTGGAGCGCTGGATCGCAGAGCCGGTCCGCGTGGTTTTGCTGTCGACCTCGTCGTATGTCACCAATAAGGTTGGATACCCGGTCCTCTCCAGGAAGCACCAAGATTTTATTAAGACCATGTTCAAGATGCGCCCTTTCTTCGCCCTCACGGGCAGAGCTCACAAGGTCAAAGGCGGCGATGGTTACAGGCCCTTTGTCCAATATCTCGCACATTTGTTTGGCAAGATGCCCGATAGTTCTGAAGCAGAGACATACGAGGCACCGTACTATGACTATTTGCAGGCCCCATTGCAACCGCTCGCCGACAACTTGGGAAGTCAGATGTATGAGACTTTTGAGAAGGATCCGGTCAAATATTCGGCCTATGAGCAAGCCGTAAGAATGTGCTTAGTTGATATGCAAACGGGGAAAGAAGGCAAGGAAATCGTCATTATGGTTGTCGGCGCGGGACGTGGGCCGCTCGTCAAGCGCTGCTTGGACGCTGCAGAGTCGACAGGCATCAGCGTCAAGGTGTATGCCGTCGAAAAGAATCCTAACGCAATTGTCACGTTACGCAACATGCAGCGGGAGCCTGGCTGGGAAAATGTCACCGTTGTGCCGGGCGATATGCGCACCTTGAAGAGCGAGGTCAAAGCCGACATTTTGGTGTCTGAGTTGTTGGGATCGTTTGGTGACAACGAGCTTTCACCCGAGTGTCTCGATGGCGCAAACAGTTTGCTGAGGGAAGGCGGGGTTTCTATTCCTTGCAGCTACACCAGTTTTCTTGCCCCTCTGTCTTCGACCAAGTTGCACAATGAAGTCAAGGCATATGGTGATAGCATGAAAGAAATGGAAACTTCATATGTGGTGAAGATCCATCGGGGTAAGCTCGTTGCCGCGCCACAACCTGTGTTTACGTTTACGCACCCAAACAGAGCAGTGGTAATCGACAACTCCAGATATACCAAGCTAGAATTTTGCGTGTCAGAGACGAACATCGTACATGGCTTTGCAGGCTTTTTCGAGACAGACCTTTACAAGGGGATTAAGCTTTCGATCAATCCTGAGACGTTTTCGGACAGGATGTTTTCGTGGTTCCCGATTTTCTTCCCAATAGCTTCCCCAGTTTATGTTAAGGGTGGACAGACGCTTACTGCGCACATGTGGCGATGCGTGTCGCCGTCAAAGGTATGGTACGAATGGTGCGTGACAGATCCGTCAGTGACGGTGATTCACAACCCCAACGGACGTTCGCATGCAATGAGCAAAGGCTCATGAGCTCTGACTTTTGGAACGAGCATATAAATTAAAATTATGCAATACTGCAATGGGCCGCGCGATGCTCTACTTGGCGATGTCGTTTGCCTCTGTCACTCGTTGAACCGTATACACGAGGGCACCGATATTGGCCACCAATCCGAGCACGAAAAAGAACAGCGGCGTGATGCCATCGACTCGGATTATGCCTCGTCTGATGCTGTTCAGGTTGAGGTGGTGCCGAATGCCAGAAAAGATAAGTAGAGCAAGTGCGAAGGCAATAAAGACGGCGGAAACAACGGTGGTGGCCGTTGTGAACTGTCTACCGATGGCCACGGATAGCACCAACATTGCGAGTACCGTGCGAACTGCAGAACCATACGTGCGGTCAGTGGCATGTATGTCCCGCGGGTCAATGCTCTCCTCGTCTATAATTGGGGTCATCACTTGCGCCTGTGTGGGTTGTTCTGTGGCGATAGGGTGGTGGTTCTCTTGCGAGAGGCTAACGGGCTCGATCCCATCCATGGCTGCATGCTGTGCCGCATCAGCCGCTCCCCTGACGATTCGCCCTAAAGCCTAACGATTTGTTCTGCGATAATAGGCATGGTCCCGCGGAGATTGGGGATTAGCTACCCTTCGAAGGGTAACACTTGTGATAAATCTGGGAATCATGTGTCTACGGTGAAGGAATCTATGAAGAGTAATACTGTATCGTCGCCTCAGAGGTTGACGTGTCCACCCACGGCTGTACTGGTGTAGCACACATTTTAGTCTGACTGTAATGCACGGCGAACACTTGAAATTGAATTACAGTAAACTGAAATTGAAAAAGGCTGAAAGAAGTTGCTCACATGTATTTGCTGCTGTGGTATGATTCCCGATCGATTGATCCAATCGGAGAGCGTTTAGGGCAAGTGTTTCTCGCCTCTGTTGTCGCCGGCGACACGCTCTCGCGCGGTAGCTCCATCCCCGCGCCCCGCTTCACGCCAACACGCAACAGAATCCAATCTTCGATTTCATCGCAGACTCCACATCCCTTAACACCTCCTTTTCAGACAGAGAACAGAAATGGTCAAGGGTACGTGTCGTGCAATCTGCATTCACAGCAATCCATTCGCCACGCCCAAATTCCCGTTGCACATCGCCGCCTATTCGCAGCCCAGTTGCTAACCATCAGCGCCTCTCCTTTGGAATCGAATCGACAAATTTCCCCATCTGCCGCATGTTTCTCGCTATCCGAAATGGTCGCCCTTTTGATACATGCGTTTGCTCATCTATTTGAATATGCGTTTGAACGAACACTCCAATCTCAATGCATCGCAACACGCCGTTCTCATCTCCCCTCGATCTGCGCCTTCGATTTTTCCGACAATATCTGAATACCTTTGGCCTCGACTTTGCGCAGAAGCGTCTAAATCTGATAAGGCCGCGCTTGCCGCGAAGACGGGTATCAAAATCGTCAAAGGCAAGAAGACCAGAACCTCCGTCCATTTCCGCCGGCCAGAAACCCTCAAGCTCGATCGCGACCCGAAGTACCCGCGGAAGGCCCTTGCGAAGAAGCCCAAGCTCGATGATCACCAGGTCATCAAGTACCCGCTAACTACCGAGAGCGCCATGAAGATGATTGAGGACGACAACACTATTGTCTTCATCGTCGATGTCCGCGCCAACAAGCCGAAGATCAAGGCCGCTATCGCCAAGATGTACGACATTCAGGCCGCAAAGGTCAACACCCTCGTACGCCCCGATGGACAAAAGAAGGCATACGTCAGACTTACAAACGACCACGATGCCCTTGACGTCGCATCTAAAATCGGTATCATCTAAACTGTTTTCGCTAGAGCTGCATCGCCTTACCCGCGAGCAGAGTCGATGCACTGCACTCTTTGAATAAACTACTCGTTTAAACCATTTGGTCAGGCTTTACCATTGTTCTTCGTGCGCGTGTCTACAATGTCTCGTCCCCTCTGTTTTTGACTACGTACTGTGATCCTCCCACGCTGCCTTTTACGCACGCGATCCGAATGTAATGCGGGTCACTTGTGTTCTCGGATAGAGCTCCAATACACCTCCTGTGTGCTTGGTATATGTTTTTGATCTGGAGCGCTTCGCGGTTCATTATTCTGTCTTCTAAGAGCATTACGTTTTGTGCTGGTTGGTTCTCGTCCTGCGCCTTGTGGGGTGAGTCAAGGATGAAAGAGTTTGTTTTAAATGCCACGAAATTGCTTCTCCTTAAAAGTAAAAATTAGATGTAGGGCCTGTTTAACATATCACAAAATCAAATCTGACTCTTCCTGATGACCATCTCTTGAAACAACTCTCAGAATATATAGCTCCAAAGAAAATTCGACACTCGTCGAAGCAGGCCGAAAAGGGAAAGTGTAAGAATCTACTTCCAAGTTCATGATTAGAATACCCCTCAGACGAACAACTATTAGGTGGACAACTTACACGGCGCTGACGGAGTTGATAGCCTGAAAAGCTTTACATCGAGGAGGACAGTTAGGGCAGAAGTTCTTTCCATGGCTCTGCGAGCAGCCTGTTTTCTGTGGATACCTTTTAGGGCTTGCTTTCCTTGTCAGCTGCTGCACTTTTGATGTGTTGAGTTGGAAGTAAGTATTTTTTATCTCGGAAGGGGGCAAGAGCCTGCTTGATATTCAGGGCTGCTCTCCGTCACACACAAGAAGGACAGCGGCTTCTCGGGCTTTGGTGCAACATAGGCACAAGAGTCGCTCAGGATTTTGAAAAAGGGTTACTTCGAAGCAAACTCTTTGGGAGCGCTTCGACTGTCAACACTTCGCCAAGATTTGCAGTATCCACTACTCACTGCTTCTCAGAACGAGCTATGCAAAAGAAGGAGCAAAGGAATTTGGCGCTGAAGTTTCCAGATAGTGAGCGCGGTGAAATGAAGCAACGGGCTTCATTTCTTTGCGGGGATGTAGAGGACGAAAGAGAGGAGGTGTCTCCCCGGTCTTTTCAGTCTTTGCAACAGTCAATCGTTTCGCCAACAAAGGGTGACAAGACGCCGTTTTCGAAGACGCCGCGAGCAAAAATGGGTGGCGACGCCGAGGATATGGGCGATTCGTCATCGCCCCGGGCAAGAAGAGATGGCGACAAGGAAGAGAAGCCGGCGAAGATGAAACTGGTTGGAAAGCTCTTTCTCTCAAAACGCCGGAACAGGCGATGAAGATGACAGATCTACGAAGCTGGTTTGAAGGTAGGCCGTTTGTAGCTTGACCCTCCGCTTTGTGCTCCTTGGTCATGTGCCATATCTAAACTGCAGATATATACTTCCGGTCAAAATGTTTTTGATCGGGCCTCCTATAGTTTTCTATTGATACAGGCTTATTTTTTTTTCCATGCGACATTCATGAAAGAGTTCTAGCAGGTGTTTTGAGTCGCAAGGGACGGAGGACATTCTAGATTGTTCAACCCTGTGCCGAATAAGAAAGTGAAAAGTGTGTTTTTGATTTCATCGCATGTGGAACAGTGCTTCAGATAAGCAGGGTTTCGAAAGTCGTAGGAGTATAGTAGTGAGAAATTCGATTGAGACTGAAAGAAAGCGATAAAGAGTAACGGGTACAAAACTGAACGAGTTCATTCCCCGTCGGTAATGGGAGAGTGGCTCCATCGCCAGATCAGAAGTTCGAAATTGTACCCCTAAAAATTTAGATACGTTTCCAGGGGTACTGTCCGCCATCATGTTCACACAGAACGTGCTTGGTCGAAAGCAGTCCCGATATATGCGATTCACGAGGCAAATGTCAGCAACTTTGTTGCAGAGACGCTTCGCTACTTTGTGTAAAGACATATGCGCTGTGGATGAGATGCCAGCCTCTCTTCGAGAATGTACTCGAGGTCCCAGGAATCCACCTGATGCCCCCTTTTCTCTCTCCTCCCCCGCCGGCCCCTTCTTTCATACTACCTATCCTGCGCCTCGGCCGCATCTTGAAGCGCCGGGTACTCTGTCTCCCTCGTCCCGCAGGTAAGATATTGCGAGCTGACTGAGAACAGGTGTCGCTTGGGTTGGGTTGTTGTTGCCGGGATAAGTAGGGGGAAGAAGCAGAGATACGGCCAGTGCCCAGAGTAAGCTGCCCGCTCGACTTTTAGAGTTGCACCAGCTCGACCCCTGGAGACGAAAATGGGGTGATCCATCAGCAACGGAAGAGATAGGTCATGCGCAGTTGTTCAGTAGTCTTGACAGTTTACTCCACATCAGCTCCTGCGTGCCGCTTTACATCAATATTGTTATGTGTGGCAATGCCAAGTTGCGGTGGGTTTCTGCCATGGCAGAGCTGGAGAAGTTTCTTCTTGGGATATATACAGCCGTCCCTCTTTTTGTGTTGCTCACCGGGCCTTAATATTGTGAGACTAGCGATCCCTTCAGTCGCAGTGTAGACACACTTTATGGACTTGATTGGGAATCGTTAGATGAACCAAGCAAAAGAGATCCGTCCGAAAAAACTTCAACGCCTCTGAGTATTGCTCTCCAAGAGACTGAATAATTGCGTCCAACCCAGATCAATTCATCCGCCCATTGCGCAGATGACAGCCATGTTCACATTGTCAGACATCGTTCCCCTGTTTCCGTGTGTCTACGCAAATACATTGCAAGCATAATAAATAGATCACCATCTTCATTAAGGACCGTGTACTGTAGTTACCCAGTTTAGAGTCTGCAATATTGCATCAGCACCGCGCACTCGAGTGTGTGCAACGGCAAATCCACTTCGGACTACGTCTCCAAACTCCTCGTCACGTACAAGCTAAGCCCGACTGTCGTCGGATAATAATCACCTGCTTTCCCATAGTTATTGATATCTTTCCCCATCACACTACGCACATCGCCAGCATCATGCTGCACTGACCACAGCAATTATCCACTTAGAGCGTGCACATTCATTTCAGTTTCCATCTTACTGTAGACTCTGAAATTACAGAAAAACAGTCACCCATGCCCGCATACAGAAAAGTAGCAGAAATCGGAATCTACGTGTCGGGGAAGGCGGGGGATTTGTATTATAACGGGAGCGGCTCCACGCCATTTTTTTTACTTCTTTTTTAATAAAATTCGTGCTGCCAGAAACCACAGAAATTCGTTTGGGTTGTTGCCGCCTCCCGCCTTGGCGCGCTTTCGACTTCGCGCTTCCGACTTCGCCCTTGCCTCAGAAAGATCTGTCCCACTGCATCCCATTCTCTGTCTCTGTTGAGAACAGCGGGTAAGCACTTGGCCAACTGAAGTAACGCCATTTCAAAAAGCGAAATTCCATCATGCCGTCAAGCGTGCCTTCCGAACTACCGTTTGGAGAGCTGATGACTCTGCGCGAGAATGTGCTGGCGTGGATTTCACGTGACGCAGGTCTGGAGGAGTTTTTAATTCCCGACAAATTGAGTTCAAAATGGACGAAGGAGCAGAAGGAGACTTGGACGGCGGCCGTAGTGGAAAAGTATATGCACCTGGACGACAGCGAGGGCAGCGTGAACATGCGGAAGCGGATCGTGGCTAGCGAGACGGCCTCTGCGTTACGGCGGTGCTGCGTGCTTTTACGCGAGGGAACAGCGAGCCATCGGGACGTGATAAAGACGGCGGCTGTGCTAGAGACGCTGTGGGACTCGATCAGCCCGACGATGGGGGACGATGCGGTGTGGGTGAAATGCTCGCTGACGTTTGATACGGCGCTGATCTCGATCCGGCTGGCGTACTTGTGGATCTATCTTAACGCTGAGGCCAACGGAAAGTCGACGAGTTTTGAGACGCGCAAGGCTGTGTTTAAGGAGTGTGTCGAGTCGTTCTTCGTGATAGGAGGGCCTGCGGATAGCGGGAAGGACAAGCACTCAGTAAACTTTAAGGAGCTAGTGGAAACGTGGAGGGAAGAACTCAAAAGTTATGCGGAGAACGAGGAAGAGGAGTTTGAGCTGCGCGTGAAGCAGGTAGAGGAGGGGTACAGTAGGGAGGCGACGGTGACTCGGATCGAGAAGTTTATGGGTTTAGCTGACATGAATGGGAGCTGGATGCTGCACGTGCAGCAGATGGACAAAGAGATAGAAGCGGGAATGTGGAAAAAGGGGGCTCGGCGAGGGCGGAAGGCGAAGGCTAAGGCTGTCGAGACGCGTGAGGATGATGCGGTGAATGGATTGGAGGATATTATGTCAGTGTCGTCGTTCGAGGCTGCGGGTGTTGACAGAGATTTTAAGATTGAGAGTGAAGACAGTGGGAGTGAGAACGAAAATGAGATGAGTAGCATTGGGGACTCGGAAGCAGAAGCAGATGTGGTAGAAGAGGGGCGTGAGCAACGGGTGAGACGGCGGAAGTCTGCGCGTCTATCTAGGGCGGATAGGCATATCCAGGGGACCAAGAGAAAGGCAGCCGTGAAGGCTCAGCGGCAGATGAGAAAGAAAAAGAAGGCGGAGGAGAAAGCCGCAGAGGAGGAGCAGCAGCAGCAGCAGGAAGAGGAAGAACACATGGTGACCCCTAGGAGGAGCAAGCGAGGGAGGTCGACGACGGAGAAGGAGGAGGATGAACTTCAGTCGCCGTACGTTGAGAGACGTACGGGGCGGTTCAGCGAACGGAGGCGAAGGGTGGCTAGCGCACTGAGGGCACTGCGGCCAAGGCGGGCGTGAGAGGATGGAGAAGGTGAGTAGATGGACATGCGGTATCGAGGTTGGGGGGGGGGAGTCTCGAGCGCACCGTAGGTGGAGGAGAAGTTAGAGTGGATGGAATAGAGTGGGTGAGTGAGAGGTGAGGAGAAGCGTTTATGTTGTATGCAGGACTTGTTCAGTAAACTCTTTTTGGCAGCGCCCCGAGGCAGGAGCGCTGCATATGTGTAGTGCAAGTGCATAGACTCAGTGGGCGACTCCTGTCTTGCGTCGACACGTTTCCAGCGCGTGCGTCCGGTCCAGTGTCCGCGTGTACATGGGTTCCAACGCGAACAGGTGTGCCAGCGAGGCGTTGGCATACGTGTCCACGTGGTGTCCACATGGTTCGCGAGGGGATTATTTGTCAGTTGCTGTAAGAGCGGCGGATCAGGTCGGCGGCACATCTGGAGGCGGCGGAAGTCGTGCGAGCCCGCGCTCCCATTGGCCGCCTCACTATCCACAGATGTCCGCGCCCGCGGCCATTGTGCCCCTACAAATCCCTTCCGGTGGAATATGAATACCGACCCGACCCCTCAGCCGACGACGCCTACTAAACCCCCCCGCTCCCCTCCCAACCACCTCAACCCTTTCCCATCCCCCTCGCACCATGTCGCCTTCCGCGTTCCTTCCCCCTCCGGCGCTCGTGCGCAACGCCCCGCACCTCGCGGCCAGCCAGCCGCCGCTTGCCGCGCGCCAGATCGCCACGGCCGCGCGCGCGCTCGACCGCAACGCGCTCGCGGCGGCCGCCGCTTGGGGCGCCGCCCCCGTTACCCAGGCCTCGACGGCCTCCATACTGGGGCTCCGGCCCGGGCGTGGGAAGGCCCCGCCGCACCCGCACGCGCCG